AACAAGTACTTGTATGGGTACCCGCATCTGTATTTTCACTGAGGAAAACTGTACTGGGTACCCTACATTTGTTGCGTTCTGTGTAGCGACTGTTCATTCACCGTTTTCTTTTTCACGCACGGCTCCATATAAACAACTGGGAAAAACATAACAAATTAATGTATTTTCATACTAATTTTTTCCAGATTACTTCTTGACTGTTTCTTAGTCTAGAACATGCCAATCTTGATCGTAGATGAAGAGCGGACTATTCTGAAGTGGTCCGATGAATATCCGCCCAACTCAAGTCCGGTATTCCATCTGCTGAGTTTTCTGAATTGAAAAAATTAAATATAATAAAATCGAAAAAAATGTAATAAATTGCTTTCAGAGAAATGAAAATGAAAAAAGTCAAAGATTAGGTTCGATCCTGAACATACTGAAATTTTGACAGCAGGGTACCTAGAAATACTGTACAATAGTACCTGATTGAGTATCTGATCAGTATCTTCAAGTACCCAGTTACTACACATTTTGTAGCAGGGTACCTGCCAAAGTACGACTTAGGTACTTGAAAGCACCCACAAGTACTTTGCTACCCAAAAGTTCCTGTGACATACTGGTAACAGGGTACTTTTTCGGGTACCCTTATCTCAGTACATTCTCTAGGGTTGTTATCTTTAGTGTCATGAATAATATTACTTCATCGTCTTTTGATTTGTTTCATGAAAAATCAGACAGTTCATAAAATCAATAATGATGAATAGTTTATTCATGTATAAGTTTGAAAAAAGACTGTACGTGTGGGTGTGGGTGTGTGGGGTACGGGTGTGGGTGTGGGTGGTGTGGGTGTGGATGTTGGTGTGGATGTAAAAAAAGAGTAGCCTCAATCACCCACACCCACACCCACACCCACACTCCACACCCACACTCCACACCCACACCGACAGCCGCACCCACACCCACCCACCCACCCACACCCACGCTCACACCCACACCCACACTGTCTGCAGTGACGCACTGACACAAAGCGCACTGTCTGCAATGATACACTGACACTGACTGCACTGGTTCCACTATCTGCACTGATATTGGTGTTCACTGAACCAGTGCATACACTGACACTGACTACTGCACCGGTGTCAGAGTTCACCAAGACAGCGATGCTCACTGAAGTATCAAGTCGCCTACTCTATAAAAGTATGCACTGCTCATGACTTTATTTATGACTATCAATGAAATTAGCCAAATGGCTGTACCTATTCCTCCGGAAAGTAGGATTCTTTTAAGTAATCTATAATTTTGAATAATAAAGACAATTTCAACGAAATACGCCACTTTTAGTCCTAATATTGACACATAACTACGAGATTTTATTACTCAACCAGATTCATTTAAGCCCTCCCCCCTCAGAAACGAACTTTGTTATTTTCTCGTCTGATTTCAACCAAAATTTCAGAGAATGTTAGTCTTGACTAGAACAGCTTATGGTTAAAATATCTCCCACAAATCTCAAAGATATGCACAAGCTCCAGTCAATTCATTACCCTTTACATGGGGAAGGTTTTCACAATGGGATTACTAGCTAATCATGTCGGGGTGGTTTTTAAATTGTAGAGTGACCTTAGGGCTAGGTCCTCACAAGCTCCGATTTTTGAATTTCCCTTTGTTCGATTTTTAAAAATACTTTTTCGAAAAATGCTCAAATTCAAAGTGTTAAAAAATATGAAATATCTGAGTTTTTTATTTCAGCAAATGAGAAATTCAAAAATCGGAGCCTGTGAGGATCTAGCCCTAACTGTCCTCTATTCAACAAAAAAGAATTATCCATTCTCTATTGAGTCAGTATTAAGAAATCCTTCCCCGCGTAAACGGTAAACTAGAAAAAATTGATTTTGAGAAAAACGAAAAATAAGTATTAGAAGTCGATTTTTCAGAAAATCACCTGATTTATATATCAATGTTCAAGACGGGCTATAAATGTGTGATCTCAATATTAAGTGTTGATAGTCTCTTAGTGATTAGTATTTAAAAAAAACTTTCCGAAATGTTGATGCAAAGAGAAAGCAGCCTAAAAAGTCGAAAAACCTTGAAAAAACACCATGAAAATTTCTCGAAAAATATGATAGTAGGAGCAAAGTTTCAGACGATAAGTTTGTCAAAATCAATTCATTTTTCGATAAAACATAGATATTCTGAAAGAGGAAACTTCAATGCATCTTCCTATGATATACCTTCAATTTCGACTCATCTCCGAAAAATTGGATTTTCTGAGGGGGGGCGCCTTAAAGAAGATGACCGTTTCTTAAAATTTATGTGAACTTTGTAAAAGTATTCGTATCATTACGATTACATAAATTTTTCGCTTTATTTACTCTTCTTTATTCAATGGTGAAAAAAGTGTTAGCACGTGAAAGTGTATGTAGCTTATCTCCACCAAGAAGCCAAACTATTGAGCAGATATCCTTCCATTCGATGAAAATTTTTTGTTAATCTACATATTACAAGCGGAATATGTCGTCGTCTTCTGTGTATAAATTCTAGTCAATGGAAATCAGTATTAGTACGTCAGTGTTTCAGTATGCGTCAGTGCAACAAGTGCAGTCAGTGTCAGTGTATGCACTGATCCAGTGAACACAAATGTCGGTGCAGACACTACAGACAGTACACTCAGTGTCAGTGTATCACTGCAGACAGTGCGCGCAGTGTCAGTGTCATCATCGTACCGGTGAACGCCAGTGTGATTTTATCGGTAGTCAGTATACTGAAACTGCACATTCCTACCCACACCCACACCCACACTCCCACACTCCACACCCACATCCACACTCACACCCCATCCACACCCACACTCACACTCCACCCATACCTACACACCCACACCCTTATGCCATATATTTACTTAGCAATAAATTTGACGCAGTATGATACTCCCGAAATAAAGAGCGGAAAAGAGTTTTGTCCGAGAGTGTAGTTATATAGAACATAACTGTCACCAATGAGAGATCGTATTCTTTAGAAAAAATAGTTCTATTATAAATTGCACAAAAATTTTACGATATGTGGTCTAAATTGTTTCAAGAACACTCTTCTAAGCAACTATTGTTCTCCCTTTTTTGCGTTAAAATATTATTCAATTCTTTTCCATTGATGACCGTGGGATAAATCAAATAAATTGGTTTACGAATATGGTATTGGATAAAAAAAGTGTTGAAATTAGGATTTTTCCTTGAGATCATCAAAAAATTTGACGTTTTTAAGGGACATAATAGAAGATCCGGGATCTTCTAATGTGTCGAAGGCTTTACTACATCTAATATATTCTATGAAAATATAAACATATGAAAAAACAAAACAAATCACTCATAAATAATTATTTAATGAATTTGAAACAATAAACAAATCTGAAGGTTGTTTCAAATCAAAGGTATCATATATATACATAGACTTCCACAATAAAGGCTATTATAAATAGTTTAATGAATTTTATGAAATCGATGTTTATTTCTCAAAACCATAAGTTTATAAGGGATAGTGTGAAAAATAAGTCAGCTTGAAAATTAAACATAATCATTACATTGATATTATTCCGATACAGTTTGATGAAATTACAATCAAATTTTAGACAATCGATTATTATGCGAAAATAATATTTTGAATAGATTAACAGTTTTTCTATATACAACTGATCAACATTGTTTCATTTCTCTGTATATCAATAATACATATTTGATCGCTTTGCGTTTATGGATTATTCAAAACGTTCAGTTATTGATCTTAATTTCATCTTATTTTTTTTTGTAATACTTAAAATATAAATTTTTATATCATTTAACATTTCATAAGAAAATAACTACGTAGATTTCTTTTTTTCTAAATAGTACATTTTAATTAAAACATTGATTTTTGCCAGTTCATTTGAATATTTTTCTTTAGTATAAAAAGGGCTAAAAAAGAGATTGAGAAAAAGATATTCAAGAAATACTGTTAATATTTGATTAGAATTTTGATATCATCAATATAAAATACTTTATTATATTGTGTAAACAAATTTTTAAATATTTAAAAATAATATTTATCTTTCACTTGTTTATAATTCTGTTTCCAGGAGACAAAAGTAAATTTACATATCATTCTAATGTTAGTAATTATACATCAGAGTCAGATATGAATGACAAATTTGAAGATCTCAAGTGAAGAAATAAGTCGAAAAATAAAAATAACAACAGCTCAAATCGTTTTCAAGTCTGATTGCTTCAAATAAAATAAATCATGTAGAAAATATCGACTCATCATATAACTTTGTTTTATAATTAGATTTTTATTATAATCAAGTCATATTCTAAAATATATTTTGAACGATTATTATATTTTTTTTGTGCAGTTACAATGATGATCAAACTTCAACAGGATGTGCGTAGAAGAAAGAGCAGCAACCACACCCTTTTTCTGGATAGGTGTGGGTTTTGGGGGTGTGTTTGTGGGTATTATTTGTGTCTTTGCCACATAGTCATTCACACTTACACCTTCCCAAATTGATTATGTAATTACCGAAGACACTCAAAGACATCTGTTACCAACTTCAACTTACATATAATCATTTAGAATATTTCATTTTATATTCGTGATAATTCTTTGAATTCTAGTTTTTATTATAGTATTTCTGAAAATAGTAATAACAAAGAAAGATATTCATTATAGAGGGCACTATAATATTTTCTCTCATCAAGGTAGAACTTCATTGTTGCTTTAATTTCAATTGGATGACGCATTGTTATACAATAAAAATAGAACACTGAGAAAAAACCCAGTCGTGCAACTATAAGAGTAATATGCAATTGTACGTTTTTTTTCACTTTTTAGTGTGTTTATGGCAGCATCACAAAAGCCAAAAGGTCGTGGGCGTCCTCGGCAATGCACTCCAGCCTATCCTTCTTCATTAACTGAGAGTTCATCATCAACAGTATCGAAAACGACACATGACACTATGATTTCAACGACAGACAATGTACTACAAGTTATCAAATCTTCACCGACTTCTAACAGTGGTCGAGATCGTGGTACTCATCTAAAGCAAAAATATCAAGCAGCTGATCCTCATTGGAAGGTATCAGACTTAACCATGGCTGAATTTAATTCGAATGTTCGACCATCAAAGCCAGATGAGCAGAAAAGCATTGGTCAGGAAATACAGGTTAAGGTTAACTATTTTCCTATACTTGGGTTTCCACGTCGTGGTCTTGTTTATCAATATGATATTCAGATAAAAAATAAAATGAATTTAAAACTTTCTCGTGACCTTCAACGGTAAATATTTATATTCATATTTTTTATATGAATGATGATTATTATTCTTTACTACATAGTGCATTGTATCAAAGTTGGTGGAACAAATTTTGTCAAGAATATCCGCAGCTACATAAATATAAAATTGTGTTTGATAATGAACATATGATCCTTACATTAGATCAATTACTTCCAAATATCGACGAAACTGTATATTTACCTTTATTTAAGATTGTTTTCCCAATTTTTATATTCTTAAATATTTTCTCTAGGGAATAATCGAGACGATGAGTGCACCAAATCGATTTGGTCGTCAAGAAGAACATGAAATTCTTATTAAACTAGTAGGAAAACCGGTTGATTTGAGTTTATTAAATTTTCTCGATGAATTCCAACAAACCGGCAATAACAATTATCTCAATCATGATGATCTAAAAAGAATTAAACATATTCTATCAGTTGTACTGCATGAACAGTGTTCATCGAATGCTACTTATATTTGCAATCGGTTATTTTTCGCACAGCCTACGTTAGACAATAAATATGGTGATTGGGATCTTGGTTTAGGTAAAGCTTTGTGGCGTGGTTTTTATTCATGTCTTCTCATAGGCAAAAGTAACTGTCAACTAGTAATAAATCTTGATGGTAAGTGTTAATCAATTGAAATTATCGGAAAATTATTTTTTTTTTCTTAATATGCGTTGTAGTTAGTCATAAAATCTTTATGAAAGAACAATCTTTTCTTGATTTTCTCTGTGATGTTATGTATCACAGTCCATGTGGTAAGAGGCATTGGACAAATAAGCGAAGTACTTCAAAACTTCAGATACAAGATGTATTGCAAATTTTTAATAAAACTACTAATAATATTTATTATGAAGGTGAAGTTGAATTCTTATTGAATTGTTGCAGAAGTAAGTAGCTATAGTTTCTATTTGGAAGTCGACTGTCTTGTATTAAATAAGATCTTCCCGTACGCTCACATGTGGCAGATAAAATAATCGGATACAAAATCGAGAGTTTAGGTGATGCAGCATCAGAACAAACATTTTCATGGAAACAAGGTGAACAGGAATCAATAGTTACAGTGGAAAATTATTATAAAGAACACTATGGAATTATATTAAAGTTAGTATTTTAAAATAATCGTATTTGATGTTTTGATTATTTTTTTTTGTAAGTCAGATATCCAACATTGCCTACTTTGAGAATGCATAAAGGAGCATTTGTGCCAATGGAATTGATTGATATTCAACCCATCAAAGTGAAAAGAATAACTGATGAACAAAGAGCACTTCTTTGTTTAAAATCAACTATGACGCCATCGGAATATTGTCAATCGATCAAAGAAATTCGTCAAAATGAAAAACAACAAAATTTTGAACAGGATCCATTTGTTGCTGCATGGAATTTGAATGTCGATGTCAATATGCTCATAATATCAGCACGTGTTTTACCTTCACCTAAAATTATTTATACTAACCAATTTCATGTAAATTGTGATCAGAATCAATCACGAGGTGTCTGGACAAATACAACAACTCCTTTTCATACTCCAACAAAGTTTCCATCTATATGGGCTTTAATCAATTTATCATCGTCATTGAATATGGAATTATGTAAAAAATTCTATAATGAATTGAGTTCTGTCGCTTCAGGGCGAGGTATAGATTGTCCTCCACCTGTTATCTATGAAGAATACAGGGTTCAACCTGATTCAATAAGTCATATGATTACTACGATAAAGGAAATGATGGAACATAATACTGATTGTAAGTTTTTTATTACCATATTACCAGAGAATAATAATATTAGAGATAAGATTTATGGTGATTTAAAAAAGTTGGTAAGCAAATAAGTCAACAAGTGAAATTAAAATAGTTGTTTTTCATATTTTTTTGTTTTAGTGTGAACTGGAGTATGGACTTGGAATCGTCACTCAAATGATTAAATTGAAGGAAAACGAAGGCATAAATAGATGGAATTATTCAAGATTAAATAATATTTTAATGAAAATAAATACTAAATTAAATGGAATTAATGCAGTTCTTCAAGTTCCGTAAGTTACTCCTTTTTTTCATTTAAATAACTGACGGAAACGAGTAATTGATGCTAACATGAAAAGCATCCAAATGTCTTATGACTTGTAGAGAGTAGGTGTTAGTGAGTAAAATTTGTCGATCTGTAGGTTTTTTAAAGTTTTAGCCAGGGCTGCCATATGTACCCCATTTGGGGGTACAGTACCCCAT